GAGCAGTTCGGACAGTTGATAGCTACCTTATTAGGACACTGTCATGGGTCCAGTGAATACGTTCAGGTAAGGTTATCATTTGACAGCTCGATAAAGAACCGCTGATCAGTAAATGAGCCGACGATCCTCTTCTCTCTCCTTTACTTACGACCACAAATGCACGCAATAACCGAAATGGTAGTTTTGACGAAATTTCGTCAAACCAGTTGGATACTTGACGATTTTGGCGGATTTTAGTCATAAATTAAGGGGAAAACTATCCTTTGCCTGATCATGTAATGAGTTGTTATCAATTAAGATTGTTCATTCATCAAAAAGCTGCCTTGAAGCATTTTCCCTTTCATCCCAAAGAATCACTGGCAACTTATTTCTTGCAATATCACCCCAAATCACACATTAAAGTCATAATGAGAAGGAAATAATCACCCATTAAAGAAGCTTTTGATTGTTAAGGAATTCTCCATGTTAGCTTCTAAGGAAATGTCTAGAGAACAGTATGGAGAATATGCATACTAAACTAAGGATATCATTCAAGATGTTGGCTACAGGTCATTCTGTAAAACAGCAGTTTGCATTAGATAGTCTTCTCATTTACATTGTTTCTCTCAGACTTATTACAAGTTAATTTTGGGCACGTGGCTTTAGCCTACAAGGGACTACTTTGTGACAACTTTGTCAAACATGGGGTGATCACTGAATGTCCTCTACTCTGCAGAATTCTCTCAATGAGTTGCAGTGGTTTAAGTGCTTTTAATAGGCCATTTCCAAATTACTTTTGGCCTCTTTTTCAAAACGAGGCCTGGTGCTCAACCATTCTTGTGAAAAATGACTTTAATTTGAACGTGAATGAAAACTTATAATCATATGAAAGGATGAGCACCAGGACCCATTTTGAAAATGAAGCCAAGGGTAATTCAGAAATGGGCTATTGAGATGTGGAAAATCCCCTCTAACCACCTTATACTGATCTCACATGGAAGCAATTTCTTATAAGAAGCCTGAGAAACTATAAGACATTTGTACACTAAACTTGGAAGTCATATTTATTTGAAATCTTTTGTATAATACCAGTAATATTGTTTCAGCATAAAGTCATTCCCTTTACAAGGAATTGATAATGAAACATAATTAACTTCACAATTGTGAACACTGATAGGAAAAAACAACAAATACTGGTGGAATACTGAAAGAAGGAGAAGTGACTGGGATGTGTGAGGCCACATTTTAATTCACCTAACCATAATGAAAATACTTCACAGAAAATTTTCTTTCAGTTCCAAAAAATATAATTCATCAGATAATTTCATTACAAGGTAAAAAATTTGTAATAAATCCAAGACCAGGACAAATGTTTAGATTAGATCATACTTCAATCATTAAAAAAAATATCAAAACAGGTCCACAAGAAACTCCCAAATCACATCTCAAGTCTTTTAAGTTGTCCATCAAATGCCTATTGTTTGAAAAAACTGTACCAGTATTAATTCACACAAGTTACAAAGTGACGATAATAGTACAGTAGAATCACGGTCCAAACTGTGGTCATAATAATTGACCTGGTGCAACATATAGCAGTACAGTATGTAATGGTATTCACCCTAGCTTCTAGGCATGGCTTTGCCAAGATCTTTCTAACAATAATTCTCCTTGCAGTCTGCCATACAATTTTGATTTGGAGAATTTAAGATTAGATGAACTAAATTTCCAATTGACAATTTTCTTTATTCTCTTCCCTTGTCTGCTTGATATTGTATTGACACTGTACGGAGAAATTCTCTTGGTCACTCGTGGAGATTGAAGGGTTGAGACAAACAATGAATGACATTAATGAACTCAAAAGGTAGAGACTGGTCACTGATCTTATACAAACAAGTTTGAATCACTTAAGATTTTATCACTTGCATTAATAGCACTTTTCAATTGAGCATTACAAAACCACAACAATCGCAATCTCAATGGACCTCAAGAATAGTAGGAAAATATACAAAAAT